GTATGCTAATGAATCAATAAATATATTACTAATGCAGCAGTCTGTTGGTAACGAGGAAAGAAAAATGCCATTAGTGTCGGGGTCGTTGGACCATCCAATATTACCAAGATTAAAATCGCCCAGCACTAGAGTGGATGTGTCACGAGGCAACCCATTATGGATAATATTTGAGATGTTGTCAAGTAGCGATTCCAGACCAGCAGTTGAAGGTGGAGGAGGCACATAAGCAGCACAGATGGCGAAATTTTTATTTGAAATTTTCAACAAGATCCATATATCTTCATTGTGAGACTGAAACTCCATCTTTCGAGAGGCTTTATGTTTTTTAAGAACGGCTATTATGACCCCTCCACCATCCCTCTTTTTACTGTGTGTGGTATACCTATCTCTTCTAAAGACATCATATCGATAGTCAAAACACTCCCTATCAAAGACCGTATCATTAAGCCAAGATTCAGTCAACACTAATATATCATAATAGTTTGAAAGTACAGCGAGATACAAATTTTCTGTTTTGGTTCTGAGGCCTCTAACATTTTGGTAATATATGTTTAAATCGTATTCTATATAATGTATCTAAATTTACATGCTAAAATAGATTTATTAAATAAAAAAAATGAAAAAGTTAATTAAGTCAGTGTTTTCAAAAAGTCTTCACTTCTAATAACTACACTAACATGATATTCATATTTTTTTGTGGAAATACACTACTAGTTTAACATTATTATTGAAACAAAAATCGAACAAAAATATTATTATTATTATTATTAAAAATGGGAATTCTGACACAATTATAAACTTTTTGATCGTGCTTATTGTGGATGAGTATAACCAAATAATAGGTGTATAACTATTACACAGATTATGTAAAAAAAAATGTTCGAAGGTGCCTTCTACTCATAAAATGCCTCGCTAAAATTATGTATTTAACCCGGCAAAAATTGTTTGTTGACTGCATTCGAAGTTACACACGTCTTCCTTAATTGTCAAATTGGGCCTCTTGTTATCTTATATTTTTACAATACGAAAGGCGACGGTACTTAAGTAAGGTAAGGTATCCCCAAGACGAAATACGAGTGCGCTCGTACGAGTTACATCGTACAGGAGTCCACTTGGATTTCGGTTTGCAACTTACAAGTACATTAACTGCCTCTGTGGCCGAACGGTTACCATGCCGGACTGCCACGCAGAGGTCCCAGGTTCGATTCCCGGGCCGGGAGAAATATTTGTATGGCCTACATTTATTTCTCTCGTGAGTTTGGGTGTAATTTGTGGTTGTCTATGTGTGTGTCCATGGCACCCGCGACACAGGGTTTCCCTAGTGCGGGGTTATGTTGATTGTGAGCGTTATTATTATTAGCGTCCAAGTAAGTTTTAAGTTTAGTAGCAATAGAGCTCCCTGTGAAAGAGTTTGTCCAGGGAAGTACCTGCCACCTTACCTATTTCTGCCACCAAGCAGTAATGTCAGCATTACTGTGTCCCGGTTTTGAAGGGTAAGGGTGCTGGGGATATTAGGTACGGGCACATGGGACTTGTCAACTTATGTCTCAGGGTCATGGGCGCAGTGGCAATGCCCCTCAGATCTTTGCGATTTAAAGCTCAGTGGCACTGCAACTGTTATGGGCAGGCGTGTAGCTTACCATCAGACGCACTTTGTGTCCCAGAAATCGGTTTCGCCAATTACACATGTAGTACTACATTTACTGCGCATGTATTGTTTTTGGAGGGAATAATTTAAATAAATTTCGATTTCTGTGGTGGAAATGTCTCGAAGACGCAGTGCGCTGCCGGTCTGCCATGTATCGTATTTAAAAACTAAACATCTCATCTGAAAAATATAAATCCAGCCCACTACATCACACAAGATTCGTTCTTTTTTATATTGCTAATCGTTAGACACTTTTTGTTTTGTTTTTTTAATTTCTTTTAATCATTCATTAATTCGTAACTATCATGAATACTCGTATGTTATGTTCTATTTTTAAAACAATAATTTTACAGTTATACAGGCATTCCGCTCTGAGAGTGCGAAAATAATGGACACGTTTTTCAACTACCAATAGAAATTATGCAAATAATATTATTATATGTATAAATATACTATAAGAATGAACTTTATTTTATTACCTACCTATACGCGTATACATATACGCAAGGTTTACTATTACTAACGTCAAAACTGATAATGAAATACTTTAAAAGTAATAGAAATGACTCTGCTGTTAGGTTAAATGCTAGCTACAAGGTGTTCTGTGAATTAGTGTGTTTTTTGGCTAATTTATTTATTTTATATCCTCTATTGACTTCTTTTAAGTGTATATTTAAGTTGTTTATGAGTGTTGTTAATTGTATTGGTAAGTAAAAGCTTTTTAACCTCTGTTGTAAATGTCTGATTCTCCCGATCCAGGGGAGGCGATGCTGAGACACGTGCTCAGTCATCTCCTCGAATGTTTTCGCAATCTCAGACTGAGGCAATGGAAGTAGATAAGATCATCCAAAGTAGGAAACGAGCCCCCACAAACGTGGAATCATCCCAATCCCCAAAAAAACCAATACCTAACAGTCTGTTCCGTCTACCCAACTTACATTCACCAACCCAAAATTCTTAAACAACAAAAACAAGTACATGGCACAAGATATTGCCCCGTTCATTGTACATGTGAGCAAAACAGTATCGGATCCCTCTTCTGGCACCGCATTACGCTCCATTAAATTTGACCATTCTTTGTTTAGGAACAATGTTAGAAATGTTGTCAAAGATGGTATCAAACGTGTTGGCACAAATAGAATATTTCTCGAATTCAAAACTTTCAGTGATGCTAATGCTTTCCTTGACCGCCCAGTTCTTTCTCCAGCCAAATATGAAGCGATTATCCCAAGCTACAGCATAACTAGACTGGGTATTGACCGACAAGTTCCAGTTGAACGGACGCTGGAGGAGATAATTAATAATAAAATAGATACACGTATAAAATATATTCTACACGTGCTAACAAATACAAAAACACAAATAATGTCACAAAAAAGAAGAAAATGCCTAGGTGAGCTAAAAGAGAACAAAGAAACAATTTTCTGTCGATGAATGCTATGCTAATAGATCAAAACAATCTGAGGGTCGTATTCTAGAACTCTACTCAATGCTCAAGTCAGGATTGCACTGGCAACACAAGCACTGGAAATACGACCTTAATGGCAGGGACTTGAGTATGATATCAAGTGCTTTAAACCATACTCAAATCCTAACGAATACGATCCTCAGAGTCGTATTCTAGAACTCTACTCAATGCTCAAGTCAGGATTGCAATTGAAACACAAGCACTGGAAATACGACCCTAATGGCAGGGACTTGAGTATTATTTCGAGTGCTTTAAACCATACTCAAATCCTGACTTGAGCATTGAATAGAGTTCTGGAATACGACCATCAGAGTCGTATCCAGAACTCTACTCAATGCTCAAGTAGAGTTCTGGAAACCGTAAATTGACGGCATTAGTCGCACCTTCATACAAATTAACCTTAAAGTTACAGCATTCTTTGGGGTTAAAATCTGAAAATCAAATTGTCATAACACACATAATCGTCATTAAGAGGACTTTTTGAAATCCGAGTTTATTGTTAAGAAGTCCTATTTTTTATAGGTTTATTTGCTAAATTTGGCACAAAAAACTCGAACCGTTTCAGAGTTATGATTTTTTTCGTTTTTGTAATTTTTGTTTTGGCTCCAGTGAAAAGTTGAGTTTTTGAGTGTTATAGCATTGTCGTTTTCCAGCGACTATATTTTATTAACCTACTCAAATTTTGTGAATTTATGTGTCATAAAACTATTAGGGAAAATTACATAGTTCATAAAACTGTTCATAGAATGTTGTGGAAAAGTCGGTCGTATGTATTAATAATACATAATATCATATTATCTGAGATAATACTATTTACTTAAATAAGTAAAAATCAACATGAACTATTAAATAAAAAACGACATATTTTAAAATAACTGTTTATTGTCTAATAATAACTCTTAGAAACAAAATTCAGGCTTGAAAACTTATATAATGTACGTACATATCAACCCAAACAGGGATATCCCAGACACGGGACTCCTCAAGGCGAGAGTTTACGCTATTGTCCACCATATTGGATGGATGAGAATTTCTCACAATGAAGACGTTATTGCATTATTACAGGCATCATGCAGGCATAAATCAGTTATAGAACAATAATAATAACGCGCACACACTCATAGCCCCACACTAAGGAAACCCCGTCGCGGTTGCTATGGACACAACCACAAATTACACCCAAACTCACGAGAGATAAAAATGTAGGCCATACAAATATTTCTCCCGGCACGGGAATCAAACCCGGGACCTCGGCATGGCAGTTCGGAATGGTAACCGTTCGGCCACGGAGGCACTTAAATGGCAAGTGTTGACATAAATAATAATTTTTAGATAACTTCTTTCGGAAAAAATCCCGAAAAATCGGAAAAATATAATTTGGAAGGAATATTATGTTCTACGTTTTACAAATATCCTTTGAAATTTTATTTAGCGTGAATTATACTTAAATATAATTAAACTTGTATAACTAAAAGCCACATAAAGAAAAACGAGATTTAAAATTATTTCACAACAGCGGAAAACCTCCAACAACCACACCACCACCACGTCTTGTTGGCTCCATCGTTTTCATTCAATAACCTCAAGTTTAGGCAGGTGTCAACGTCATATGTGGAAAATGAAAGGAAAAATATTGGAAAAGAATAGAAAAATATTATATTTTCTGATAAATATTTTTTTTTTCAAAACGGACTTTTTTCCATGACGGACTACTAATGTTTGTTTGTATTTAGTTACACGTTCTTAACTTTTATTCTCGCCATGGTGCTCAATAAACTACGAATACGAATATTCTTTTTGCCTATTGGCGGCGCCTTTTCTAAGATTTCACCCGGTGTGTCGGATCGGTAAGAATAACAAACTATGGCGATGGACGTCAATGTCGGTTGTGTCTAGGGTTACCATCCGTCCGGATTTGTCGGGATTTTACGGCTTAAGGTTACAATTCTCGGAATAAAAACTACAAAATATACAAACTCGATTTGCGATAAAAATTTTGTTGCCTGGGCCTGCTTGTCCATCTCTGCCGCGTGAGACAGATTTTAGATTTTATTTTGTTAGTAAAAAATCTGGATTTTCTTGCACATGTCAGGCGTTTTGTTCAGACTATTCAAATTGTAACTAGTCTCGGGTCTGGGTGTTTGAAGTATGTACCTACATACAGTCGTTGTTTCCGATTTCCATAACACATGTGCTTAAGTTAATTATTTATTTGAAACCCTAGTTGTGTGTTACGCAACAATTCTTGATATGATATGATCATTTTGAAGTATCCTCGATCGTTGGCATTGGCACAGCATTGAAGTTGATAGTTGGTACAAATCAAAATATCCCGTATTAAGATAGCCTGTGTGCTTTATTCTTTCATACGCATCAACATTTCATAGAATGCTTATTTTATATACCTTACATCAATCTATTTTCACACTATACTAATTGCAAATTGAACCCAAAGAATACCGAGACGAACCTTGTTGTGTTCTAGTGAAGTTGGCAACTGTCAAAGTGGCGCTTTTATGGCCAATTAGCAAAACTAATCGAAGCCTCCTTCCGCTAGTACTAACAAAATCTTGTAGATCTCTGCATGTAGATGCTTCATGGAGACTATGGACAATTTTTGAACTTATTCTGCAGTCCCATTTCCCAATTGATTGTGAGAAACATACGAAGTTATTATTGTCAACTATGTGTCCGTCTACCACTTTTATATTTATTGAATGTATGTACAATAAGCTTTTCTATTCTTAATTTTGGATTCAGTGTCGTTGTTCGCAAGCGCTCTGATTTGGTTTGTATTATGACTGATTGAACTGATTTTGGGACAACTATAGTCTTGGTTTAATTGGCATCCTATCGTCTTGGACGATTATTACCAGGCGTAATCGGCCTCCGATTGTCTTGAATGATTACATGACTTGGTGTAATTGGCGTCCTATTGTCTTGAACGATTACATGACTTGGTATAATTGGCGTCCTATTGTTTTGGACTATTATATTACTAGGTCTGATTGATGTTTTACTGTTTTTGACTATTAAATTACATATCCGTTTTTCAGCGAGTATCTGGGTGCTCACAAGAGTCTCAGAACTGTGACCTTGCTGTGTTGATCTATTTAATGGTAAAGATTTATCTTTTGGTGTACGTCTCAGTATGATGGGTCGTGTAGACGTTTGTACATGCGTTTGTACGTGCATTTGTTTAGGTCTATTTGGTACTGGTATATATAACTTTCGTTTATTTCTGCTTTTATGGGGCTTTATTTGAAGTAAAATCTGATTCTCTTTAGCTGAGGAAGCTTGTGTAGTTTCAAGTGTGAAGGTAGTCGGTGTTTGAAGGGGCTCGAATGGAGAGAATGCAGGTCTCTTCTGGGGAGGTTCGCCTTCTTCGGATTCCGTCGCTCCTGTGTCCAAGCACTCGTGCACAGTTAATAACTAGTTGGACAAAATATAATAATTAATTCATAAGTAAGTTGTCATCTGTGTGCCCAAAAACGTACATTTTAGGTTTCAAGCGAGAAATCTTAACCTTACAATAAGACCATCATAGGTGTTAGTAAATATTCAGCAAAAATCTGTTCATTCGCGAATTCTTATATACAATATTCTTCAATTGAAATCAGACTGCTGTAACAATATGTGTAAGTTGTGAAACTACTTTACCTGTGATGTAGTTCCCGCAGGGTTAAAGTTGGCCAAAAGAGGGTCGCCCTCTTCATGTTTGGGCTTTGGTCCGTCTTCGATCTCGTCCTTCGGCCTACACACAATCGGTTATATTATATAATTATACAAGTGCTTCAACGCCTTATCATGGACATCAAAATAAACACCATTTGTTACACCAACTTTGTAAGTAAGCATTTCTTATGTTTAATCTAATTTCACAGAATTTCCTGGTGAACCCAAATTTTACATATAAAAATAAAGTTATAGCTTTAAGTTCCGAATAAGCTACTTGTCCAGAAATTTCAAATTGTGCAATGTTTGGATTTTTGTTTTTCTAAAAAATATTTTTTCTATGTGGAAATTATACCATGGCCTAATATAGTCCAAATAATCCAAATAATCAAAATGTCAATGTACCAATGTTAAATAATGTAGTCAGGTGAATCTCCAATACCATGACAAAAAGTGTCCACTTGTTATATGTTTATGTAAAGTCAAAGCCTTGAAAATTAAAAGTAATTAGATTTCTTGCTAACTGTTGCGTAAGACGCAGTTACTAAAATATTTCATTTAATTAATTTAAAAAGTACACACGACATACATAAAATAACACTATGAGTGTAAAATCTTCACAAATATAAAATATTTTCAAAGACGCGGTAGCTCAATCGGTTAATAGCATGCACAGAATGCTAAGGTCGTAGGTTCAAGTCCCGCCCGCGTTGAAAATTTTATATCCACGTATTAACATTTGTTATAGATGCAAAATGCCAAATGCGAAAACCAAATAACAACGTGCACCCCAACAAAGATTGTGCCAGAAACGAAAATATCCTGAAATAAAAAATTATCCTGATTTACTTGTAAAAGAGAAAGAAAAACGGAGAGCTACATACCGAAAAACAAAAGAAGAAAAGTAAAACAATCGCTGAAAGATACGAAGAGAAAGGGCCTTTCTATCCTGTTGTTTTTTGTAGTGAAACTAAATATATATTTTATTCAGATTTTATGTATAACAGTATAAGTAATAATAGATCATCATTTATATTATAATTTTGTAGTTTTTCTCATCAATCCTAATATAAAGTATTAAAAAACGTCATTATCCATACCAGAGCATCATTATAATCTCAGCAAACATCATTAACCTATTCTAACCACAGAAGTATTGAAAAAATATTATTTACTCCAAAATATGCTTCTGTGACCAGTGCTTCAGTTATATCTCGTTTTACTACCATCTAAAGTAAAGAACAACACTATACAATTTATGATAGCACAACATTTATTACAAAAAAAAGATGTTTCTAACAAAATAAATAATAGTCAAATAATCACCACGCCATGTTATGTGTATGCAACATGGTTCCAAGTGACATTATCCTGAAAATTACTTTATTACTTCTTGATAATTATAAAATTACTTGAAAAACAAAACGCTGTCGCTAGCAATGTCCATACCACTTCAACAGGAATCAAATGTGTAGATATGTGTCTTCCTTAACTTGACGTTGACGTAATCGTCGATTGTATCAGTGGAGATATAACATTTTAAACAAGTAGCAGGTGTTGGAGCATTTGCTCAGTTTGGGTGGAATAGTTCAACCTGAGTCGTAAGGGCGCTTTTGTGGCCAATGGGCCACAGTCGGGTTTTCGGCCGGGCATGCATGGGCCACAGCCATCAAGATATAGCACTTTTGTTCGAATATTGCCTCCAGAACTAAGGAATAAGATCCATCAATGAGTAGGTTGATAAGCTGCAGACTGTAAAATACAGTATATTTGACTGTTTGTTGGTTTTTAAATCAATTTGTGACTATACAATTGCTCTAACTAGCCCTTGGTTACATTAGAACTGTAAAAATGACATTTGGGAATAATTTAACATATATTATTTGCATTTTGTGTTGAAGCAACACCATGCTAATTAAATATTCAATGTTACTTACGCTTTTATTATATTGTCACACAGATTGCATTTTAACTCCTCCAGTACTTCGTTTGTTTTTTCTGTAAATTGAAAAGGACCAAATGTTGCTCCCTTCTGTATAAATACAACAATTTTGATTTGTAAGAAACATGAATACAACTCTCAAATGAAATTAGATTCATCCTTGACGAGTGAATCCTGTACCTAAGATTAAAACCCTTGCTTTCAGAAATTTCTACTGGGCTGCCTTAGGGTAGTGAATAGAAAAAATACTAAAATAGAAATTATATATAATGTTCTGTCACCCGTTAATGTGTCTTGTGCAGCATGACTGTGGTGTGGCTTGGAGCCATACAGCAGCATGTCATCATCAATCAGCTGGCTCATTGGCTCTGAACCCACTAACTCCTCTGCAATAAAGTTTATATAGGTGAAATAAACGAACCTTGGAAACCTGCATAATTAAAATGGAGCAGCAGGTGCAGTTGGAAATTCAAAAGGCCAGTCAACCGTCGTTAGATTTTGGTTAATTGTTGTTTCCACCTAAACACACTCCACGTCCTTTTCCCGTCGAAGTAGCCAGACGCTACAGCGGATCACTAAGTTTGTTTTCAGAGAGGGGTAAAATGGAAAGTTGCGGCTGCCTGTTATAATATAAGAAAAACTTTACCTAGGTATTGCCAATAATCCGTGAAACCTTCGAATTGTAAATTTAAAACTGGAATCACTTCTCGTGTCAATTTGTTTTGCTCGTTTATATGTTCAGGATCGGGATAAAAATGTTTATGGCAGAATCTTAATTTTTGGTTTATGGCAGAATCTTAATTTTTGAAGTATGAAACTTCAAAAATTAAATCTTAAATCTTAGCTCAAGATCATAGTTTTCCAAAAATGGGCATGCTTTCTTCCATGCCTCCCATCGTGTTTTTTCGTTGTATGGACCAAGAAAAAGTCTAGAGTCCTTTCGTCGACTTCTACACCCCGGAATAGCGCATCTTTGAGACATTTTATTTAAATTTAGAACACAAACCTTTCCATCCTGCACAAACCACACGCAATTTGAAAACCACTGTTAGTAGTTTGTGACCACTGTTTTCAAATATTACTTTTTTTCCTTATACTTTTACACTATGGCGTCCAGCTGTTGGCCATGTGCAACTTCATTGGGTTGCCAATTTTTGGTAATTGTTCCAATTAATCTTTGCTTCCTTCTTAAGATTCAGGATATTATTGTCGTCGTCGGATATTTCTTTGTTGTCGTGGAAATTGATTTGGGTTTTTGGATATTAATAGGAAATTAAAAACGGAGAAAGGAAATTGCGGAATAAAAATAAAAGCGAACGGAATTTTGGAAAGATGATCAACAGGATAGAGTAGGTAGTATGTTACAGGTAAATCTAAACAATGAATTAGTCTTTGTACGAATAAGTTTTAAGTAGAATAGGGCACAAACTAATAAGAGATACTACGTATGAATAAATAAGGCATTTTCGGAATGAGGCCTACCACGGTTAAGTACATTTACGACTTAGGTGATTTTGCGAATAGTTCCTTAATCCATTTTATGAAATATTCCATAGTCTGTCTGTTTTTAGTAAATCAAAATAAAAAGTATTTTAGTGAATCGAATAAAAAAAGATAAATTTTATACAAGTAAATAAAATGCGTAGCTCAGGACTAAAATATCCATTGAATTAATTTATTTTAAGTCTCAGAGAAAAAGGATCGATCATAAGATTATTTTTGCCTGCTGCATTCTCAAATTTAAAATGATCATATTTTAAATACATGCCATTGAAATTAAGCATATAATATTATACTTGTATAATGTTGTGCATGTATTTTATTAAAAGTATCAATAGTAGCAGTTGAGCTCTAACACCTATTTCTGCCGCCATGTAGTAATGTTAGCATTACTGCGTTCCGGTTTTGAAGTGTAATGGTGCTGGTGAAATTACAGGCTCATGGGACGTGTCAACTTATGACTCAGGGTGACAGGCGCAATGGCAGTGTCCCTCAGATCTATACGATTTAAAGCTCGTGAGTGGCACTGCAACCGTTAAGGACAGGCGTGTAGCCTAACATCAGGCGCACGACTTGTTCGTCCCGTACTTGATATTTTTTAGTTATATTTCAATATTTTTTCATGAGTAGTGAAGTATTGAATCAGGCATTTTTAACAGGTACTTATTATTGCAAGGATTAACTGACTTATATATTTCTCGCTTCTCTTTGACTTTTTAGGTACCTACCTATGTGAATTTTCGTTAAGTTTTCATACATTATTTAATGGTTGTACCTATATACACCGGGTTCGTAACTTAATCGTTTGTGTTATAATCGTTTTGCTTATTGTTTCCCACCACAGAAAATAGCATGAATGGTACGCAACAAAGAGTTAATATATAATTGGTTTTACGAAATTTTTTCTCACTCAAGGCGCAGTCACGAGAATTCTCGCGAATGCTCGAGCATGTCCGCGACCGTGCGTCTTCTCGAGCAGCGAATTAGCTTCCGTTCCGCCGCAATGTAAATTGAGTCTAAGAATATCACAAAGAACAACTAAAATGGTGGCCTTCCTTATAACATAGTTTTCATTATTGTATGATTTTTGTACGTAATTGTACCTTGATGATTTAAGAGTCGTATTCCAGAACTCTACTCAATGCTCAAGTCAGGACTTGAGTATGATTTATAGCACTAGAAATCATACTCAAGTCCTTGCCTTTAGGGTCGTATTTCCAGTGCTTGAAATCATACTCAAGTCTGCTCAAATCCTGACTTGAGCATTGAGTACAGTTCTAGAATACGACCCTGAATCTCCGATACATTGACCTATTTTGGTAGGTCAATGCTCCGATATTTATTTATTTCATGAACTAAATGACGATTAATTTTAAAAGTTTGCGACCACAACCAACGATGTCTATGGACTAGACCACACGACCTCTTTTGGCATCCCCCAATCCAGCGTGTCCATGCTAGTTTCAATTAGTTGGTTCTAGTCGCATAATCCAAGATTTACCTTGTCGGTCAACCGTTGAAAATTTAGGATGTTTTCAGTTATGAAGTTAATAACATTTTTTATTACTACATTTTTTTGTGAATTGATGTGTCATCGTAGAAACAATTTAATAGGAAACTTAATTACATTGTTCACAAAAAACAACACGTGGATTATTCCAACGTGACAATGGTCGAGTTTTTAAAATTTTACTAGCCAGAAAAAGTCGCTATTTAGTCTGTTCTAGTCGTAAAAAACTGGATTTAGTCGGTCCGCCATTCAAAAGTTATAAGCGTGTTGTACTGTCCACGCTGGAATAAGTTTATTCCAGGCAGCGGCACCATTTCATAATCTCGAGCTCATCTCCTAGCTTAGATCTGATTGCACCCAGAAAAAGTCGTGAATTAGTCTTGAAGTAGTTTAGGAGATATTGGATATTCAATTATTTTCCATAATAGGTACATTTAAGTAGAAAAATCGTACACCAAAAGTAATTTATTCATTATTTAATTATTCTGATCAATAGTCGTACGCGACTGTACTCCATGCACCTCGTTCGTCTCGTGCCAATACGACATACGTACACTAATAAATATCATTGCCATTAAGGAAAAATAACTGATTTTTTACTAATTTCTTTGCCATGGTTACATGAGCTTCGAGACTAACACAGGTTTGGGGAATTTATCGCTCCCCTAACGAACAATAAAACGGCCTCGTAAACTTCGTTAATGGCGATATAATTATAATGTATGGACAAACAATTTACAATCGCTGACATGACAATTTACATAACTAAAAACTGCCAAACATTTCCGGCAAGTGTGACACTCTCCTTGGCGACACTCGTCCAAAGAGACTGCCTCAGCCAGCCGGTGATAATAGGCGGCGTCTAAAGCCGCCACACAGGTATGTATAACCTTGAAATAATAAATCGGTTGTATTTTTATCTTACAAAGAGTGAGTAATTCTGAAATTTCGCGACAAGATTTTTTCTGTGTGCCATCAGATATAAACTAGGGGCTGTGGTTCTAGAGATTCAAAAATGGTTCCGCCGGAATAAACTTATTCCAACGTGGACAATAAAATACCTTAATAACTTCAAAACGGCATAACGACTAAATCTAGTTTTTTACGACTAGAAACGACTAAATCATGACTTGTTTTTAGTGTACACTAAAAACAGTCAGATCTACACTAGGTGTTGCGGTTCCTGAAATTGAGAAATGGTGCCGCTGGAATAAGCTACTAAACAGTAAAACACCCTTATAAATTTTGAACGGCAGACAGACTAAATCTAGTCTTTTGCGACTAGAACCGACTAAATACAGACTTTTTTCTGGCTAGTCATATTTCAAAAACTCAATCATGGTCACGCTGGAATAAGGCGCGCCAAACAACACCGGTTTATAGAATTTTATAGAAAAGTATGTCGTACATAGGTACTATAATACACAGTATCATATTTTATGCTCTGAGATATTCTATATAGGTACTATATAGGTAGATATTCGATATAGGTACTCTGGTTGATTAAGTTATTGATTAAGTTAAATTAACATTAACAACGAAATAAAAAACGACTTACTGTAAAATAAGTGTTTATTCACTAACTAATAACTCTTACAAACAAAAATCAGTCTTGGAAATTCTTACATACATATCACGTGACTTGATAGTCACGTAGGACTCCTGTAACCGAGAGTTTACGCTATTGTCCACCACATTAGATGGATGAGCATTTCTCACAATTAAGACATTATTATATTACGTGGGCAGGCATAGATCAATTAAGAAGTTTTGATATAAATAATACACGGGTACAGTGCTTCTATTTTGTCAAAGTAGACATAGACATACTTTTACTGGCACAATACAACAACACAAAACCACACAAAAAAACTTTTGACATGTCACAATTAAAGTAAACACAAAGTAGACAGTCTGGTATGGTCTGTGTTGCAGCGTCACACCAACACGGGACTTAACTTAGCATGTGCTGCAGTGACATACCACGGCGCAGGTTTTCAGTATGCCCGTAGAGCTCGATGTCCCTCGGCAATAATCAGATTTCCGAAAGCACACGAATATTAATTTCCATGCCAATTAATTATTAGATTTAAAATATATAATAATTTGAATTTTGTTTTGTTTTGATTTCCTTGTGAACTATATAGAGTTGTAATACTATTTTCCTATTTTTATTAACAAATACTCCCATGTCAATAAGCAAGTTAACAAAATTATAAAGTGCGCTTTTTTATAACTAAAAATGAATATTTTCCCGGTTATTTCAAAATATTCTTCAGTTCTGATTGAAAAACCACAAGCTACAGAAACAAGTATTTGGACTTTTTGAAAATAACCATTGTTGTATTTCTTGAACGTATCGGCTTTTTGTAAAAAATACAAGTACACGCTGTAAATTATCTGTCGTGCCTGTGACTTTAGCGGCTTTCCTCCCATTGCATAATAAATAAAAAACGTAATAGAAACTCTATGTATATACTTCCAAGTCTACTGACAGCGTCCGATCTGTACCACACGCAAAAAGAGCAACTGAATAAAACAGACAGCGGAAACACAAAGTTTGCCGAGGTACATTGAAAAAATAGCAGCATTGTAAGTTTGGGTGTGTTAGTGAATCTGTCGTAACTACTACGTTTTTGCATAGTGTGACAGAAGTCAAGTCGGAGAAAAACGGACAAATAATGTTTATATTGTATTTAGTTACACGTAGTTTTCTAAACTTTTATTCTCGCCATGGTGCTCACCAAACGATGAATACGAACTCCTGTAATTGTTTTTGCGTTTTGGCGGCGCTTTTTCAAAGATTTCACCAATGTCAGATCGGTAAGAATAACATAAGTTATGACGATCATCGCCAATGTCGGTTGGGTGTAGGGTTACCATCCGTCTAGATTTGTCGGGAGTTTTCGGCTTAACGTATCAATTTTCAGAATAAAAACTAATAAATAAAACAAAATTTTTATCGTGAATCGAGTTATTGCGAGGTGGATATTAGAACAATTTTTTTCATAATTTTATGTGCTCTACAAATATCCGATTATCATTACTTTTGGATTACCCCTCGTATTTTGTTAATAAAAAGTCCGAATTTTCTTGCACATGCACATTGCAACGTTTTGTCCATACTATTCAAATTGTAATTTATTATCTGGGGTCTGGGTGTTTGTGGTACCGTAGTTGTTTCAGATTACCATAACACAAGTACTTTAGTTACTTACTTTGGGATCAGAACAATGTATGTGATGTTGTCTAATATTTAATTATTTATTTGTAAACCTATTTATGTGTTACGTAACAATTCTTGATACATTTCGAAGTATCGTCGATCATTGGCATTGGCACAGCATTGAAGTTGATAGTTGGTACTCAACTGAACAATCAAAGAAAACAGTATTAAGACAGCGTCTATGCGTTATTCTTTCATATGCATCACATTTCATGGAATCCTTACTTTATATACCTTACATCTATTTATTTTCATACTGTACTAATTGTACAGTTCAATCCAAAGAACTTTGTTGTGTTCTAATGAAGTTGGTAACTGTCAAAGTGGCGCTTTCATGGCTCATTAGCAAAACTAAACGATGCCTCCTTCCATTTGTCCTAACAAATCTTATAAAATATAATTTTTGAATTCATTCTCCTCTTCCATTTCCCACTGATTGTGAGAAACATACGAAGTTATTATTGTCATCTGTGTATCTGTCTACCACTTTTATAATAATTTAATATATGTACACCAAGCCTTTCTATTCTTACTGTTGGATTCAGCTTCATTGTCCGCAATCGCTCTGATTTAGTTTCTATTACGACTGATTGAGCTGATTTTGTGACACCTACATGTCTAGAAATAATCGGCATCCTATTGTTCTGAACGATTATACAACTTGGTGCAATTGACACCCTATTGTCTTGAACGTTTATATTACTTCGTGTTATTGGCGCCCTATTGTCTTGAACAATTACATGACTTGGTGTCATTGGCGTTCTATTGTCCTGGATGATAATATTACTTGGTGTGAGTGATGTTCTACTGTTATTGACCATTAAATTACTTTGTGTATTTGGCAATAATACCAGTTTTACAGCGAATGTCTGGGTGCCCACAAGATTCCCAGAACTGTGACCTTGCTGTGTTGAGCTAACTAATGGTAAAGATTTCTCCTTTGGTGTATGTTTCAGAATGAAGGGTCGTATGGGCGTTTTTACGTGCGTTTGTTTAGTTTCATCTGGAACACGTATACATGTCTTTCGTTTATTTGTGCTTTTATGGGGCTTTATTTGAACTAAAACCTGATTTTCTTTAGCCGAGGATCCTTGTGTAGTTACAAGTGTAAAGGTAGTCGGCATTTCAAGAGACTCAAATGGAGAGAGTGCAGGTATCTTCTGGAGAGGTTCGTCTTCTTCGGATTCCGTCGCTGTTGTGTCTAAGCACTCGTCCACAGTCAATTCCTAGTTGGACAAAATATTATAATTATTTCATTAGTAAGTTGTCGTTTATGTGCCCAAATACATACATTTTCAAGCGAGAAAATTTAACCTTAATCCTGTGTCTATGACCATCATATGTAGGTGTTAGTGAATATTCAGCAAAAAAACTACTCATTCACGAATTCTCATTAACAATATTTTTTAATTGAAATCAGACTAGTGAAACAATATCTGCAAGACTTTAAGACTACTTTACCTGTGCTGTAGTTTTCGCAGGGAGAAATTCGGCCGAAAGAGGGTCGTCCTCTTCACGCTCGGGCTCTGGTCCCTCTTCGACCTCCTCTTTGATCTCATCCTGCGGCCTACACACAATCGGTTATATTATGTAATTATACAATGTGTTGATTTGTATTCTCGACATATTTACAGAGGTCATTTTATATCCGAAACTGAACCCAGATCAATGCCAAATCACTAAAAAAATAAATCGAAAAGAACAATTCCTAAACTCTTATCTTTTATTTAATTGCGTTAACCATGTTTGATCCAAAGGTCATTGTCTTGCACTACACATGCCACAGGTATCGGCAACCATTTAAACAATGACTTATGCGCAGAAAATATGCATTTTAGATCTATTTGGTGGTAGGGTACGGGTAGGGACGGGGGAGTATCGTATCGAGTGCGTGATTGGTAGATCATCAGTCCACATCGCGCATACGTTCTAGTTTCTTACGAAATGCAACGTGGTTTGGTATGTAGACAAGAGTTAGTGCAAAAAAAAACTGATACCATGTTCACCAGACCCTGTATTACCATCAAGTGCGTTCTTATGGCATGTGAAACGTTTAGTTTACGCAGATTACGAGCGTCGAAGAATTGCGCGCAAAAATGGTCTCTGGTTTCTTTCTGCTTTTTCTGTTGTGAAGAATTGCTAAGTTGAAACGAAACTCTGCATATCTGCACGCTGTGGAGCTAGGTACTTGTAGCACTACTTTCATGTAACCTAAAGTTGGTAAGTACCAAATCTAAGTTACAAAAAATACTTAACTTTAACTGCCTCCGTGGCCGAACGGTTACCATGCCGGACTGCCACGCAGAGGTCCTAGGTTCGATTCCCGGGCCGGGAGAAATATTTGTATGGCCTACATTTATTTCTCTCGTGAGTTTGGGTGTAATTTGTGTTTGTCTATGTATGTGTCCATGGCACCCGCGACACAGGGTTTCCCTAGTGCGGGGCTATGTTGAGTGTGTGCGTTATTATTATTATAATTATTATTATCTTTTTTCAGTCAACTTTCATTCCCTAGTTTACCACCCTCTAAGGGTGGAATATTTTCTTCAGATTTAAATGGGACCACATCTGACGTTGGAAAGAGGGCTTTCCAACAAAAAAAAATCATCAATATCGGTTCACAAATGGCGGAGTTATCGCGTAACATACATACAAAAAAAACATACAGACGAATTGAGAACTTCCTCCTTTTTTGAAGTCGGTTAAAAATATATAATTATATATTGACAAATGAAACACTTTTTTACTTATGTGCTTTAGTCTGCCGACCCTAGAATTAAAAAAATAGGTAAATAAGCGATCGAAAGATTACATATCGCTCGGTGAAGCGAGTGAGGGGGTCACTGTCCTCCGCGGTGAATACTACACTAGGGGACAGTGAGCATAAATAATACTAGAGACGCAATGTCCTACAAACAGTTGTCTAAAATGTGGGACCACTTTGCAAGACTAGCTTTTTTTTGTAGCCTCACTGCTGGAAAGAGACATTGAAGATAATAATCAGAAATTGAATGAACGAGTGAGTGAAATATATTTGAAAATGTGTGAACTTAAGGATCCACATTTGGAATTCATGGTTCTTTCAAATAAATTGTTAATATGAAGAGATCACTTCCTAATTTAAGGAATTCATTGCTTTTCTAGTATGTTTTATTTATTGGATAAAAGTGATAAAAAGACTGTCTTCCGACAAAGTTTCTGTTTCTATTTAACGAAAACAAATTTATAAAGGGGTAGGTATTACAAATTACTAGATACACAAACATTTAACTATAGTTTATTACAAATTATTAAACGCCACTGTGCATCATTAGCTTGTTGTACAATTGCCTAGTGTTTTGTTACTCAAAGTATCTTTTCGTAAAAGTCGTATAATTTTTATCCACTCCCGACGTTTGTAGATATTTTTGTTTAGACTGTCGAAGTCATTTTGACGCTTAAAGCACCGCATTCAGTACACAGCATTGATAGAGTAACAATTTGTTTCTGTAATATTTTATATATGCTTGTGTTGTAGATTCTCCTCTCAACGAAGTCTATCACCGAAATTCACCGGTCAAATTCTGAGTAATAAAAGCGTGTCTTCCTTAACTTGACGGTTGGAGGAATCATCAATAGTATCGAAGGAACAACAACACTTTAAAGAAGTAAAAGGCGTCAGAGCATTTGCTCAGTTTGGGCCGAAAAGTTCGGCTTTATTAAGATCTAAGAGGAACGAGAGGAGAAGAGACAAGGTTTCTCTCATTTTTCCCTCCAATAAATGCTTCTGGCAACCTCTAATGAAATGAAGAAAAATAGAAGCATACTCACGCATCGGGATGGTCGCGGAGCGACACGATGGAATCGGCCAGTATCGCCTGGCGGATCAGGCGCAGCATCAGCTGCACTTCGCTCTGGAACCACCACAAGCAATTGAACGATTCTCGTCTCTAATGAGCTGCGATCTGTGCAAAAGAAGCAATCGAGTAACGCGCGACGGTTTTGTAATTTTTATCAGTTCAATAACGTCATAAATCTGAATGGGAGATGTCTGGACGTGGTGCTGACTAGCGATGAGATGAGAAGTGCGGTACAGGTATGTGCAGCTGCACCACAAGAGGTACTCAGTAAGAGTGACCTCCACCACCCGCCACTAATGTTGCAATTTGTCTATGAATATAGCAAAACATTTAGAATAGAGCCTTCAAATATTGGTCATCATCTAGACTGGAATTTTGCTAAGGAGATTTTTATAAATTGTATGAATTACTTCTAGCTGTGGATTGGCAAACTATATACGACATCAGAGATGTTAAAGCTGCAGTCCATTTTTTCTATAATGTCATATATGATATATTCGACAGTTGTATGCCAATGAAAATACGTAAGCGATCGCATAGTAGTAGAGTATATCCTATATATCAACAAAACAAAACAAAAATCAATTATGCATGATATTAGCTGTAAAGCCAATTATCATCGTCTATGGAAGACTTCTGGTGATCTAAAATACAGTTTATACATTGTTAATTTTGCAGAACTTCGATCTAAAATCAAGGTAGATATATTTAAAGCCTACTTAGTCTACATGCGTAGGATATCAGACCAGATACATACTAACCCGCACCAGTTTTGTTCCTTCGTGAATGGTTTGCGAAACAGTGGCGGTATAGAGCACAGTCACAAAATGTGGCAATCAATATCGTGGTGCAGCGGCGGCTAAAGCGTTTAGCCGCGACTACTTCAGCTCTATTTTTATTCCCAAAAAGCCGTCTCTTGACTGGGCTTTGGCTGGTTCAACTGCAAACTATGATAACTAAACCTACCACGGGAGGCATGTGCATGTGTCTTATTTCACACAGTTTGATATTAGGATCTCTATTAAGAAATTGAAGCCTGGTACGTCACCAAGACCTGACGCTTTTCCAGCGTTTGTAATTGCAGGTTGCGTTGATATCCTTATAGAACCAATCACATTTTTATTTAATCTGGTATTAGAATTGGATAAATATTCTAAACTTTGGAAGCAGTCTCGAGTCACTCCAATTCCTATAATGGGATCAAAAACTGCAGTAGAAAATTATCGACCTATAGCTATACTATGTTCTCTGGCAAAGATATTTGAAATGACTCTACACGGGCATTTACTGCCGCAATGTCGCAACATATCACCCATACTCAGCACGGCTTCCTGACAAATCGATTAGTCGCTACCAACCTCGTCCATCTTGCGGACTACATATCAAGCGAGATACAAATAGGCAACCAGGTGGATGTTATTTACCTCGACTATCAGAAGGCGTTCGACAGGGTTGACAATGACATGTTATTGCTAAAACCAGGAATTATGGATTTCTCGCCAAGACTTCTTAAATTATTTGGAAGTTATCTGTCTAATAGAGAGCAATTCATAAAATATGGGCCGTTTGTGTCAAGCCCCTATCGAACTCTTTCTGGAATTAGTCAAGGTTCCAACCTGGGCCCATTGCTCTTTGTTCTTATGATCAACGATCTCCCAGAGATGGTGCAAACTTCCACTGTGCTCCTGTTCGCTAACAACGTGAAATTGGTCAAGTCCGAGAAGACGCTGTGGTGCTGCAGAGGAATCTAGACAGAGTACGATTGGAGTAAAAATAATAAATTATACTTCAACTGTGCAAAGTGTGAGGTGATCAGCTTTAGCTTGAGTTTGTATTTTTATTAGGAAGTATGCCGATTACAAGAGTAGCACAAGTACGTGATCTTGGAGTTATTTTCAATAGTCGTTATTAATATTCTATGCGCACACAGAGTCAGTGACGGCGATAGCATATCGACGACTGGGGTTTGTACTTCGAAATGCCTCTCATATCTCAGACCGGGCGACCTGCACGCTCTACGTATCATTAGTACGAAGTATATTGGAGACAAGCTCAGTTGTTTGGATTCCTTGTGAGAAGTAATATAACCTCATGTTGGAGCAGGTACAGAAACAGTTTCTCCGCCATTTATACAAAAGGCGCTATGGTTATTTATTATCCATTCATGTATCCTACGCTTTTTTTGCGAAGGGCACTTTGCCTTCGACTCTTTACAGTTGCGTAGGTTCCTCGCGCTGGCCAAACTTTTTGTAAATATTATTCACGGTAAAATTGACTCCTCTTATTTACTGCAGCGTTTGCTAAGGCTATTTTTGGCGAATGAGTATAGGCGCGCGCGACACGCGCACACGCAGGCACACCGAAACACCGTGCTGCGCGCTCACTCCTCAACTCCGTTCTCGAGGCAGCACCACATACTGATTTATTTGATAGCACGATTGGATGTCTCATGAGTGAATGTAGGAAATTGTGAACTTCTCGACATGCAGGTTTCATCACGAAGCTTTTCATCACCATATCTGTGCCATGTAACGAACTGAGTCCTGGCGTCCTTAAATATCGTGGTGAATACGGTTTACTTTTATGTTTATCTAATGCAGCCTACCCTGGTGATTTAAGTTTACTAAAGTGTACTTAATGCACCTAGCTAGGTGAACTAATTCAGGTGAATGAAGTTAACGCCTCCAAAGTATTTGAACAAATGATGCCTGTAAGTTCATTTCTGTGAAATGTATTACGTTTATTTTATTCAATTTTATATTTTTATTTTTGTTGTTTCTGTGTTTGTAGCGATTTGGACTTTTGTCTTTTAAGTTGCAAATGTTAAATGAATAAATAAATAAAAAAATGAATAAATAAAGGACTCACGACGTCCTTGGTGCCAGGCGACCTGAGCACGTAGTGCATCCGGTGCGCGCCCTTCGTCTCGCACGCGCCGCACAGGTCGAAGTCGGGGCACTGGACGCACGAGTACCGGAACCCACTGCACAAGATATTATGGTCGGGGTCATCTGTCGTCGTGGTGTCGTTCGTCTGGGCTTTTGTGGCCAATGGGCCACAGAGTCGGGTTTTGGGCCGGGCATGTAGAGTCCACAGCCAACAAGCTATAGCACTTTTGTTCGAATATCCCCTCCAGAGCTAAGGAATAACATCTGTCAATGTGTACAATAAAGTACATTTTATGTTTGTTGGTTTTTAAATCAATTTACGACTATGTAACTGCTCTAACTAGACCTTGGTTACATTAGAACTGTAAAAATGTCATTCTGCTATAATTTAACATATATTATTGGCATTTTGTGTTGCAGCAACACTTTAATTAAATATTCAATGTTACCATTGACTTACAATTATATGGACGTCGGGTCCGCGCTAAAAAGTGTCCGAACTTATAGGGCATTAAGATCGTATACAGAGTGTCATTCACGCTTTAGTCTTCGTTTGTTCGACTGACAGCGAAGCAAGCAGAATTAGACAGTACTGCGATGACATTACAATTTAAATTCAACGTTTTAGCTTTTTCATATTCCTTTACATGTCACTACGTTTAAATAGGTTGACTTGGGACATTTTTTTCGTGGTTTTTGTATTAGACCCGTCGTCCATTTATTTGTAAGTCAATGAATGTTACTTACGTTTTTATTATATTTTCACACAGATTGCATTTTAACTCCTCCAGTACTTCATCCGTTTTTTCTGTAAATTAAAAATGACCAAATGTCACCAACTGCCTCCGTGGCGGAACGGTTCCCATGCATGACTGCCACGCAGAGGTCCCAGGTTCGATTCCCGGGCCGGTAGAAATATTTATATGTATATGTCCATGGCATCCGCGACACAGGGTTTTCCTAGTGCGGGGCTATGTTGAGTGTGTGCGTGTGCGTTATAAAAAAAAATATATTTTGTTTGTTTTAGTATAAATACAACAATTGTGATTTGTAACAAAGAAGAAACATGAATACAACTCTCAAGTGAAATTAGATTCATCCTTGACGAATGAATCCTATACCTGAGATTAAAACCCTTGCTTCCAGAAATTTCTACTGGGCTGCCTTAGGGTAGTAAATAGAAAAAATACTAAAATAGAAATTATATTTCACCCGTAAATGTGTCTTGCGCGGCTTGACTGTGATGTGGTTTGGAGTCGTAGAGCAGCACGTCATCATCAATCAGCTGGCTCGTTGGCTCTGAACCCACAAACTCATCTGCAATAAAGTTTATATAGGTAAAACAAACTAACTCCTGCTTTGCTCTTTATGCGTTTCTTTTTCGCGTATCAAACACATCTCAAGACTAAGAAAACAATGACCTGAACCTTGCCTACATCGTCGCGTCGTCGTCGGTATGATGGTAAAAATTGTTAAGCAAGTTTTCTTTTAAATAAACATACGAGGGGCGTTCAATGTATTCTCGGTATAGGTATCGAATAATAGGCAAAAAATTCTAAATAAAATTTATTTTTCAATAATATAGTCGCCCATAGCCTCAATACACTTATTTGATCGGGCAAATAACTTTTCGATGCCCTCGAAAAAATATTTTTCCTCTTTGCCTGAAAAATGTTCATTAATTGCCTCCTTCAACTCTTCATCGTCGGAAAAATGCTTACCCCGAAGATCTTTCTTTCGGTTTGGGAACAAAAAGTAATCACTGGGGGCCAGGTCAGGGCTGTAGGGTGGATGAGTGATTTCGTCAAATCCACAATCCCTTACAGCAGCCTTGGCAACGCGCCCGGCGCGTTGTCGTGAAGAAGCAAGACACCAGCGGTCAATTTTCCAGGTCTTTTTTCCTTTATAGCAACCTTCAAATTGCGTAGGCTGTTTGCGTAAGCTGCGGCAGTAATACTTTGACCCATTTTTGTGTATTCGATCAGTAAAATTCCCTTAAAATCCCAAAACACTGTGCCATGAGTTTTCCGGCGGATGGTCAGACTTTAAACTTCTTCGGTGGGTCTGTTCCTTTTTTATGCCACTGCATGGACTCTTGCTTACCCTCAGGATCATAGTGATGAACCCACGTTTCATCACCGGTGACAATGCGTTCAAAAACTCCACTCGGATTTTCGCTACAGAGCTCCAAAAACCCCTTACTGCACTCAACTCGAACTTGTTTCTGAAGCGGCGTGAGCATTCGCAGCACCCATCTTGAACTGACTTTTGAAAGATTCAGATGTTCATGAAGGATAGTGTGAATGGTACCCACGGATAGCTTAGTCTTTTCTGCTAATGTTTTCACTCTGATACGGGCATCTTGCAATACAAGTTTCTCGACAATTTTGACGTTTTCTTCAGAAGTGGCACTTACCGGCCCTCCAGCACGGGAGTCGTCTTCAATACTCTTTCTATCCCGTTTAAATTCACTAGACCACTTCTGAATAGTAGATAATGAAGGAGCAGAATCTTGATAAACAGCCACCAATTCTTCATGAATAACTTTTTGAGTCTTTCCTCGTTTTGTAAGGAATTTAATCACTGCGCGGTGCTCGATTTTCGTCAACATTGTGGCGTCTGTCATTGTAGTTGTCTTCTCGTATTGATAACTTGAATACTAATGATGACAATTACATGAAATTTTATATTTATACCCTTAAAGAGAGTCTTTAACTAATGAGGTAATTAATTTACTCTTATCATTAGTTAATCACCCCGATACCGAGAATACATTGAACGGCTCTCGTAATTAGGAAACCTGCATAATGGAGAAGACAAACAAAACTCTTTGAAGACGAGATCGCAGTGGAATCAATTTATATACGTATACGCTGATATAGTACCAGTAGCTATAATTCTCACTTTTGGTAAATAATAATAAGGCCACATCTGCAAAATGATAACTTTCAGGATATAGATATAAAGATTCTACAAAGCGAATTAGTTGGAGCCTTTTAATGGTTCAAATTAGAAGAAATATAAAATTTGGCACATTGTTTCATGTATTTTTATATTATTTTGATGACTATTATGGTGATAAAAGCACTTTGACGTATAATCGCATATGTCTTTATTACACCCAAGGTACTAATTACCGTATGAATTTATTTCATGATTGATTAAAAACAATATATGGTAGTTACCTTTGTCACAGGGAACGACAACGCTTTTCTGCCACGAGAACGGACCCTCGTCATCAGCCTCGATTGTATCTTCAATATCGGACACCACCTGAGTCTCTTTATGGAATTGCAATGAATCATCGTTCTTCTCTGATGGACTCAATGGAAATTCTTTGAAAATGGTTGTACTAGCTTTGAAAGTAGCAGCTGAAGCTGTTTCACAAGTAACGGTTTCAGGTATTGTATCTATTTTAGTATTAAGAGGTGTATGTTCAGTAGTAGCTAGTGTCGTAGTAGCTACTTGTGCTGAAGAGGTCTGATTGTCGACAGCTGGGTCGCCTGCAGGAGTAGGTGCAACATTGTTGCTGCCTGAAACAATACATACGAAAAGTGTAGAATAACAAATGCTAAGTGCAAAGTGGAATTTTGTTGTAGTGGAAAGTTGTTAAATGGAAAGTATTAACGGACCTTGGTGGCCCAACGGTTTGTACTGCGGGCGCTGGCTGAGGAGGACTCAGGTTTGATTACCAGTATGATCAATTTAGAGAACTGAACTTTTCAAAATTAGTTCTGGATTCAGAGTTCCGGGTAGTGCCCCAGTGTGAATTAAATTGCTCTGGTACTCATCTCTTCTCTGGTAGTAAGCTTGAAGTGTATTGAAGTGGGGTAAAGAATCTGTCGATATGTATGGAACTTCTTGACTAATAGAATACTGTTATAATTATTAATACAAAGATCGAACACTCAGAAAAAACACTCGGAAAAAATTCCTTCGATCCGGTCGGATTCGAACCGACGTCTTCTTGCATACCGTGCCAGACGCTATACCAACTAAGCCACGGAACGAGCCAACGAACCTCACGAATTTTTCTATGTGCTTGCGTCGTGTCTTTGTACTTGGTCTTTCAACGACTTTTTAGTCGTAGCGCCATCTATGAGAAATCTTTGACAGATTTATCACCCAGTTAGTAGCTTTACAGCTACCTGCGTCTGGCACGGTATGCAAGAAGACGTCGGTTCGAATCCGACCGGATCGAAGGAATTTTTTCTGAGTGTTCGATCTTTGTATTAATAATTATAACAAACTAGTGGAGTAATTTCATAAAAAATAATTGAATATCAATTCAATAAAAATTTAATTAATAGAATACTGATAACACTTCTTTCAGTAGACCGGCTTACAGAGGCCTGGTCCAGGGCGATCCTTTGTCACCACTACTCTTCAATATTGTCACTAAGCAAATAACAAAAATCGTTACAGAGGCTAAAATCCTGAAATACGCTGACGTTTTCGTAATATATAAGACTATATAATAATGAAATCTAATCAGTAGTAAGTAATATTAGGAATGTAAGCTGTACTTTTGCTGAATTACTTGGAAATATTACTGTCTATCAGAGGAGAAAAGTAAAGCCTGTTTATTTATTAGATCCAGAAAAGAATTTAATGTAGAGATTAGATTAGAGACTATTAGACGAAGCTGGTGTAGTAATAAATAACCATAATATAAATTAAATATCTGGGCTTATGGCTAGACTCCAAGCTCCTCTGGAACTCTCATATAAATGAGTTGTGTCAAAAGATTTATAAACATCTTAATATCTTAAAAGTACTCATAGGTAGCTCTTGAGGTGTTCACCTTAGGTTTACGGGAAGGCTATACATTTCTCTTCTGTGAAGCCAAATTGATATTGGAAATTTTTTGTACGCTAACTCAGCAAGCTGTCACCTACGTAAACTAGACCTCTTACAACATAGAGACTTATGTATCTGTGGGTGTTTCGTTAGGATTACACCGATACATGTAAAGGTGTGTGAGTTGGCCATACCACCTGTGGCTGTGCATAGATATTGGTTGGCATATAAATATTGGTTATCCACGGTATCTCTCACTAATAAAGCGAGTGCCCAAAGTATGGAAGATCTTACTGCAGAATGTAACAGAAATAGTTACTGGAATATTAAGGCAAAACCAGCTTGCAGCTTGAAACTTGTAACAATTTAGAAAATAGAGACGTATACAATAATAACAAATTGGAAATGTTTTATATGGAAATTAGGTTGTCGCACATAGAAAATAACTGCATAAAAGACAGGATACCCAATATGACCACTCCCAAGAGACAGTGAATTTAAATAATTGCATAAATAGTTTTGAACTGTTGAATACAGTGGCTACTATAGGATTTTTACTGACGGTTCCAAGGACATCAATGGTGTTGGTCTGGACTTATGCAACCTGCAATAAAATGTATCATTCAAACTTAAATTGTGTTATGAAGTATGTACAATGAGAGCGGAGTTATTTGCCATTAAGGAAGCATTATCCTTTGTTAGTTCTGTGGATGCAAACAAAATCACTATTCTCACTGACTCTAAAAGTGCACTTCATAACTTGGTTCAATGTGTCCTTGGAGGTTGACGCATACCAATAGCATATGAGGCATTAAAATGAATGACTAACCAATTGTCCAATACGTAATGGCTACCATCACACATTGGACTTCTAGGAAACGAGATAGCAGACAGACCAGCAAGGGAGACTATTTCCGAGCCGTTGGAACCATCAGGTTATACCCTTTCAAACATCATCATACCCTTTGCCACAGAACTTATCCCATTTGTAAGGGATCTAAATACGGATCAAAGGACTAAGAGCTATGAGATATCTTCCAAGGATGGTAGCCTATCAAAATCACCGTTAATAATTGCTATGTTCTGGTCACATTCCATTAAATAAATATTACTATCTCACGAGAAAGGCAGAATTCCCTCAATGCCAATTCTGTAACACGTTGAAAGACATGCTTCATTTAATGGAATGTGATTGATATGGGGGCTGTTGGGCCCAATATCAATTAAAAGACATCGGTCAAGTAGGAGGGCTTAACTTAATGCTGAGCAACCCATTGACGAAAAGTGCTGAAGCTCTTTACTCCTATGTGAGGTCTTGCTATCTGATGAGGCATACTTATCATGGGAGTAGTGACAGTAAAGTAGGATACTTATTTATATGTATACAAACATTTCGAAGCTGACACAAACGCCTGAACGTTTCAGGCCTCTTAAAATTAGATTTAAAAATCTCTTTATATACGAGATTGCAATGGAATCAATACATATACCTATATGAAGCCCATATGTTGATATAGTAACAGTGGGTATTTGGAATAATAATAATAAAGCCACATCCGCGAAATAACTTTCACGAACAGATTCAAAGAATCTACGAAAGAAATTAATCGTAGCCCTTTAATGGTTAAAATGCAGAAGGTGCACAGTATGAAATTCAAAATGCCAATCAACCGTCGTTTGATTTGGTATATTGTTAGTTTGTTATAGCTGCCTGTATAATATAAGAAAAAAACTTTACCTAGGTCTTGCCAATAATCCGTGAAACCTTCGAATCGTAAATTTAAAACTGGAATCGCTTCTCGTGTCAATTTATTTTGTTCGTCCATATGTTCAGGATAAAAATGTTTAGGGCAGAATCGACAATGTTGAAGTTTCATTGGTTCACGGTCATAGGTTTCCAAAAATGGGCATGCTTTCTTCCATGCCTCCCATCGTGTTTTATCGGTGTATGGAGCAAGAAAAATTTTAAAATCCTTTCGTCGACTTCTACACCCCGGAACAGCGCATCTGTGAGACATTTCACACCCCGTTTACACTATCGTCAATTGTTTCGTCGACTCGCGACTCGCATCGCGCCTTGTTTGTTGACGAAATCGAGTTTTCTTTTTTTTTGGTACTGTTTTTTCCATTGGAAAAGGCAAAGGCACTAATGCACCTTACAGTCAAGACTGAGAGTAATTTAATAAAGATTATAGACAATGTAATTTTTATTTATCTCCCATAAATTAGTCGGTTCTAATCATTGACTTACAAATAAATGGACGACGGGTCTAATACAAAAACCACGAAAAAAATGTCCCAAGTCAACCTATTCCAAATTTAAATTGTAATGTCCTCGCAGTATCGCGCTGTCAGTCGAACAAATGAAGACTAAAGCGGAGTTTGGCGCTCTGTATACGATTTTAGCGCCTTACAAGTGCGGACACTTTTTAGCGCGGACCCGACGTCCATATAATTGTAAGTCAATGGTTCTAATCGCAAAATTTTAGAATTAGTTGCTCCTTTGTTTAGAAGATATTGGATATTCAATTATTTTCATTGATAGGTATGTACCAGTGTTGGGCAAAACTTAATTGTTCTGGCAATTAAAGATTGACAATTGATTAATTGTTAATTGCGGTTCACGCAACTAACAATTGATCAATCGTTAATCGCAAATATCTACAATTAACAATTAATCAATTTTCAATCTTTTTGATTAACAATTAACAATTAAAACTGACAATTATGATAAATTTATAGGGCATATGGGGGTGAGTTAGGGCGTTGGTTGTGGGGGCCTGTTGGGGGCCTGCTCGGGGCAGGTTAGGGGGCCGGATGGGGGCCCCGGTTGGGAACCCCGCTTGGGGGCCCGGTTAGGGGGCCGGTTGGGGCCCAGGTTGGATGGCCCGGTTGGGGGCACCGGTTGGAGGCCCCGGTTGGGGGCCCCGGTAGGAGGCCTGGATGGGGGCCCGGTTGAAGGCCCCGGTTGGGGCCTGCTTGGGGGCCCCGGCTGGGGGACCCAGTTATGGGGCCTGAGCCACCCAACCCGGCCCCAAACCGGACCCCCCAACCGGGGCCCCAAACCGGACCCCCCAAACCGGGGCCTCAAACCGGGCGCCCACAAGCGGGCCCCCAACGCGACCCCCAGCCGTGAACCCCCAACCCAGCCCCCAACCGGGGCTTCCAACCGGAGCCCCAACCGGGTTCCCAACCGGGGCCCCCAACCGGTCGGAATTGATTTTAATTGCAAATTTAATTGCAATTAAAATCAATTCAATTGAAATCTATTGCAACTAAATTCAATTGCAATTAAAATCAATCGCAATTAAATCAATTGCGACGCGTCGCAATTGATTTCAATTGAATTGATTTTTTAATCTGATTGAATTATTGATTGAAATTTAATTGATTAACGCCCAACACTGGTATGTACCCACATTTACGGAGAAAAATCGTACACATATACATAACGACAAATGTATGTCTCGTAAGGAAGGTCAACGTCACAAAGCTTCGTTGTGAAATCAGTCAAGATATCGTGTTCGTGGTGATTAAAATAATTTTGAATGAGTGTAATAAATAAATATTTTAAATACCTACTGAAATCTTAGAGTCATTTATTCATTATTTAATTATTCTGATTAACCCTTAACCACTTACCACAGGTCTCTCAGACACCGTTGAAGTTATTTTTGTTAATATTTCGGCGCGAACGCATCGTTCATTCTCGCGCGTTCATGTACCTTCCCCCCGCGCTCGTCAGTACCGCGTGAGCCACCGGCGACGTCACAGGTGCCCGCGGTTAGCCAAGGTAAGTATCCAAACATCGGCAGGGGTCTGTGTGACCTGAGGTAAGTGCTTACGTTATTATTTTAACTTTTATTTATTCATTTTAGGTGAATAATGGCTGCTAATGACGAGCTTATTGCTAGGTGGTTAGAAGAAGTTCCGTCAGATGAAGAGGACCTGGTAAATGGAGTTTTTAGTGATGTTGAAGATGATGTTGGTGACGGCCACGTCCTAGAAGAAATCAGCGGCTCCGATTCTGAAATTGAAGGTGAGGAAGAACCAATTTTAACTAATCTTCAAACTAGAAATTCGCCTTCCGTATCGTCTGTTCAAACCTCATCAGACGATGATGTGCCACTGTTAGAGTTGAGGTCTCGTCCCAGAAAGAAGAATTTTTTTGGCAAGAATCGATTTCGTTGGTCTTCTGAGCCTCCACATTATCGTTCCAGAACATTACAACACAATATTGTACTGGAAAAAGAAGGTGTAAAGCCAGAGTACAGAACGGCTATAAACGCTTCTTCTACTCCACTTGATATCTGGAGTAAATTTTTTACTGATGATATTTTGAATAAAATTGTACAACACACCAACCAAAAGATTCGCGAAATAAGACCGAAATACAATAAGCAAACTAATGTTCAAGATATAGATTTGATAGAACTAAAAGCATTCATTGGATTACTTTTCTACACTGCCATATTCAAAGAAAATAGGGAACATTATACATCATGGTATAAGACGGATGGTAGCGGCAGAGAAATATACAGGTGTATCATGAGTAAAAGTCGTTTTGAAGTTTTACTAAACACTATACGCTTTGATGATGCTACTACAAGAGCGGCACGGCGAGAAACTGACGCCTCTGCACCTATTTCAGAGCTTTTTGACAGCTTCATCAAACAGTGCCAAGCTGTTTACTCGATTGGTAGCTACGCATGTGTGGATGAAATGTTATTAGCCTTTCGAGGACGGTGCCGATTCAAGATGTACATGCCAAAGAAACCAGCCAAATACGGCCTAAAAATATTATGCATTACAGATGCAAGGACTGGTTACCTTCTCAATGCATATATCTACTTAGGTAAAGACTCTGATGGCCTAAATTTGCCTTCACAATATAACCGACTGAAGAAACCTACACAGGCAGTAATGAGACTAATTTCTCCAATAGAAGGGTCTAACAGAAACGTAACCACAGATAACTGGTTCACGTCCCTAGAGCTTGCGGATTTACTAAAAGAGAAACAACTGACATTAGTGGGTACTCTGAGAAAAAATCAGCGAGAAATACCATCAGAATTCTTGCCCTCTCGTTATCGACACACTGAATCTTGTCTGTTTGGATTTACAAAAGATGTCACATTAGCATCGTTTGTTCCCAAACCAAATAAAGCGGTTATAATGCTCTCAAGTATGCACCATTCACCAGAGGTCGATGACAGCACAAAGAAGCCAGAGATTATATTATTTTATAATAGCACTAAATTTGGTGTAGATTTGCTTGATCAGAGATGCTCAAACTATTCTACGGCCCGTCGAACACGCCGATGGCCTTTGGCCATATTTTATAGGTTACTCGACGTGTCGACCTCGAATGCCTATGTTGTAAGCTTATCAGCCCAAGCACAGAAGAAAGAAACCAGATTCCACTTTATCAAGATGCTGGCAGAACAACTCACAAGACCTTACATGGAACGCAGAGTAAAAAGTATTCATATTCAACGGGACCTCAAATTTGCTCTCCGTCGGATCCTGCAAATCCATGAAGCAGACACACCAGCTGTTGCAGGTGGTAGCTGTGATAAGCTGGAAATACGTAACGTGTGTTCCACTTGTGACCCAAAGAAAAAACGCAAGACACAATACCTGTGTTTCAATTGTAAAGTTTCAATATGTCTCGAATGCTCAAATAAGCTGTGCATTCACTGCCGCGAGAATCGCTAAATAACTACCTTGCAATTTTGAAAAAAAAAAGACAATAGTGGCACCAAAATATTTTTTTTATGTGTAAAATATAGCAAACTTTAGATAATTATAAGAAAATATATAATTTATAGGTTCCATTATTTTTGATCTCATTTCCAAATAAGTCGTTACTTTTTATTATAATTTAGAGGTCTAACTAGAAATTTTGTTATGTTTCCAAAAAGATTGATTTTATTTCGTATTTTTTCTTGTAATAAATACTGTTATACATTGTAAATTACTGTTTTATTTGAATTAATCCACAATCTTCAAATTTTAATCATAATTGAGGCATTCAATGCGAGGTGTCTCCTAGACGTGTGGTAAGTGGTTACGGAAGCAAAACTAGTGGTAAGTGGCTGAGGGTTAATAGTCGTACGTCTCGTTAGTCTCGTGTAAACCAGGAGCCCAACACGACATACATACTAAGGGTCGTATTCCAGAACTCTACTCAATACTCAAGTCAGGACATGAGTATTGCAGTGAGCACTGAAAATCATACTCAAGTCCTTGCGATTAGGGTCGTATTTCCAGTGCTTCAAATCATACTCAAGTCTGCTCAAATCCTGACTTGAACGTTGAGTAGAATTCTGGAATACGACTCTTACACTTTCTTTTTTTTTCCATCCTCTAAGCATACATACATCAATAAATATCATGACAATCGATAAATTCTATGGCCATTAAAGAAAGATAACAGTGTATTTTTTGCTAATTTCTTTGTATTAAAAAACTAAACCTTATAAAAGCCTTCAAATAGCATGTATTTAAAAAAAAAACTGTATATTATGCAAATTTTGTACATGAGCTCCGAGACTAACACAGGTAAGTATAACTTTGAAATAATAAATCGGTTGTATCTTCTAAACAAAGGGAAGACTAATTCTAAAATTTCGTGACTAGAACCGACGAATTCACGACTTTTTGGGTACAATCAGATCTAAACTAGGGGCTGTGGTTCTCGAGATTCAAAAATGGTTCCGCCGAAATAAGCTTATTCCAGTGTGAACTTCAAAACGGCGTAATGACTAAATCTAGATTTTTACGACTAAATCACGACTTGTTTTTAGTGTAATCAGATCTAAACTTGGTGTTGTGGTTCTGGAAATTGAGAAATGGTGCCGTGGAACTAGCTTTCCAGGGTGGACAGAAAAACACCCGTATAACTTTTGGACGGCGGACCGACAAAATCTAATTTTTTGCGACTAGAACCGACTAAATACCGACCTTTTGTCTGGCTAGTCATATTTCAAAAACTCGACCATGGTCACGCTGGAATAAGGCACGCCAAA